CACATAATTGAGAAAATGTCAAAGTTACTTTTGCTACTTTAACGTAGATTGTTATCTAGTTTGTGATTTTTTCAAATGTAAATGTCTCTTGCATCTCAAATAAAAGATGCGAGAGTAATTTATTCAAAGGTTACATGACATGTTTATAGTGGTAACCATCTTATTGTCCAAAATGACATGAAAATATTGAGATTACTATGCTTATGATTATAATTACAAATCTATTGGTATTCAGTGTGTTGTACAAAATGGCTTAATTCACACTGGCACCTTAATAATCATTTGAAATTTGAATCGATTCGCAACCAAAGCTTTGATGCACAAACTTGCACATTTCATTAAATATTGGACCAAACTGATCTCAATTTGTGAAAAAAAAAAATATGCAAACAAATTATGCAAATTTATTTTGTGAAAGGTGACAAAAGATGACTTTTGCATCATAAATTTATCTTCTGAAAATTTATAAAAACAGTGGATGTATTTACCTGTGTATGTCACTCAATGTTAAACACAGTCTTTGTTATGTGCATGGGACACATGAAAATCTGACAACAAAAAAATGTGCACAACTGGGTCTCAAGTTTGAAATATTCCTTTAGAAAAACACTATCTTTTACAGAACTGACAGACGATAGCTGCTCCCCCTGAGTTTCAAATGGTTTAACCCTAACTGAAGTAATCTTGCATTATAATTAAAAATTAGGAGGGCTATTCTATGTCTGTAGAACCAATGAGTCATTTAAACACAATTAAAGAAAAGTTTGTTGTGATATCTATTAAAAGTGTACTATGTATTAACATCCACGCAGATGAGAACAGAACTATTTGTTTTAAATTGTTCAAAACAAAATGGATGAGACTTCTATTAGGGATGTGGCTTCTAAACTTAGTTAATATTTGGTATTTATGCGTATGGTTCACCTAGAAGTCAGATACACAGTCATACATGTAGCAGACACAACAGCATGGAATCAACTTTACTCACATTAGCTGCAGATCTCTGGCGTTTCAATGTCAGTTGATCTATCAGTAAAATATTTACTGAAAAATGTTAGCTTTGATGGTACCATTAATGGGCTTTCCTACTAAAAGTTGTTGAAAATCACTTTTTTGATTCTGTATATTTAGCCAAATCTCTTGGTGTGGGCAATTCAGTATACTACTTTTTGGCTTGTCGCTATTGTTCTAATAAATCGCTAACTTTCGATAGTGGACAGATTTTGTTTTTACTAGGATCTTCATTATCATTATCTATTAAAAGTGTACAATGGATGAGACTTCTATTAGGAATGTGGCTTCTAATACAGTAGTTAATATTAATATTTAGTATTTATGCGTATGGTTCACCTAGAAGTCAGATACACACATATATTTAAAGAATGAGTACACACCAGGAGCTACATAAATGTAGCAAAATATTGGAGAGAATGAGATTTCCATTAGAGCTATGTGTATTAGATTTCATGAAGTGTAATGATATGTCAAATATCATCTACCAAATACAAGATCTGTCATTTAGATCACATTTCATGATTGATATTTTTTTGAAACCTATATACCGGTACATGACTTTATATTACCGGTAACTTTTAAAATGGTCTACTAATTAAGTACAAACCTGTTCAATATTTGATCTCTTACTTTTTGTGTGTGATTATTTCTGAAATTCTTATGATGGGTTTGTGCGTGCAGGATTAAATTACTCTTATTTGTAGTCATGGTAACTGTGATTATTCATCTTCAGTATTATAAGAGTTTGGATTGTCCTTTTATGTAACTTATAAACTGAATTGTCAATAATTTTCAACTGGTAATTATTGAATTTGTGTTCTGTCATGACTATAAAGTGTGAAATTCGTTAATTATTACAAGAATTGGCACTGCATCAGTGTGAGAGTGGAGATGAATACTGAGGTGGGGGAAGGACACTACTAATAATATTATGTTAATTAAATATTAATTAAAATTGCAGCTTTTATTCAAATATTTCATCAAATGACTATCGTATTATGGACAGATAGATCTTATGTACTAGTACATGTTCTGCAGCTATGTGACATAAAAGTAGTTAGGTAAACAAATAAATTTATAATATTAACAGTATGCTGGTGTGTTATTTTTTCATTGCAATGTGTGTTACGATATTGGGGGATGAAGATTGTGGAAGAGGATACCTTGTACATGTGGTTATCATAACCGCCCCTCGTTCGTTAACAGGAATTATTATTAACAGCTTTTATTTTTGACCAACTTTTACCTGTACATGTATGTCAACTTTAAATAAACATACCGGTATAATAATCACACAAATGTAGTCATCAATTTTAAATGAAACTGGTGCACTTATATGGTATGTAAATTTAAACCAAGCATCAATGTACTGCAAATAGTAGTACATACAACTGAAATTAATATTGATGTATGTCTAGAATAAAGTCAACTACAGAACTAGCCTACATGTATTTCTCTTGCTTTAAAAGGTCAGTTCCATGTATGTATCACACCTGACATAATGTATTTATCATAGTGGACTACTTAATCCATCACAAATAACCTGTTTAGCTCATTCAGTGACTTTGTCTCAACACACATAGATGATCTGATTATTGTTCAAATCCAATGAGAAAGTAATACCTTCTACTGGAATAATGTGAGAACATCAGTCGTACTGAAAACAGTCCGCTCACTAGTAGTTACACAGAAAAAGAACCTGTCCCCTCAACCTCAAACACAATTGAAAGAAAACATTTCCGATCCTATTACTAGACGCATGGGACTGTCCGTGCACGCGCGAAGGCGAAGGGGGGGGGCAGCTAACGTGCAGGGCAGCGACAACAATCCTTGTACTGTATAATATTCGTTTATGCTCAAAATTTGAAACAGAGTGGCGAATTCGAGCAGCTATCCACACTTTTTATGATCGGCGCCCAGGCATTCCGACGAGTCAAGTCTGTCATTTCTGATGAGCATAATGAAGTTGCATGTAGGGTATATTACCGGGTATGTGGTGTGTTGAGTGAATAGCATTATCATCTGAAAAATAATGACATGTCTGTGACATTACCATGGACTTGTTGCTCAGCGTGTCTTGTGTCTTGCATTCTCTTATGTCAACAGTCATAGCAGACACAACAGCATGGAATCAACTTTACTCACATTAACTGCAGATCTCTGGTGTTTCAATGTCAGTTGATCTATCAGTAAAATATTTACTGAAAAATTTTAGCTTTGGTGAGTCCTGGTACCATTAATGGGCTTTCCTACTAAAAGTTGTTGAAAATTATAAAATCGAATCTCTGGGTGTGGGCAATTCAGTAATACTACTTTTTGGTTTGTCGCTATTATTCTGACAATTCGCTAACTTTCGATAGTGGACATACTGTAAAAAGACTACCGGTAATTTTCACTGGGTTTAAATTTCGCTGATTTACCATTTCAGGCATATTCAGTGGGTTTTAAATTCATGGTTTTATCATTTAGATAACGTGTTCTATGCTCAATTTTACATATTCACTGGGTTTTAATTTAGCGCATTTTCCAGTCAGCGAAATAAGCAAAATTAAAACCCAGAGAATAATTAATCCTTTTACAGTATTTTGTTAGTTTTTACTAGGATCTTCATTATCAACAATACTAGTACCCAATAGGATCGACTGTCAGTAGAGTTATCAGTCAGGCATTCACAAAGCTTGTCAATCTGAAAATCCTTGGTTCAAATCCAGGGTGTTGCTGCTTAAAAAATGTACCATTTTTAAATACTTAATAGAAAATTGTACAATCCTGATTTTTATTCGGAGATATTTGCTTACTTTACGTTCTATAACAGCAGCAACCATGAGCTAGTACAGCCAGATCTGAAGGCCTTTGCTGCAATGTCTGCTGCTCTGTGTGGTGTGGACAGGTTTCATGCACTCTGCGTGTAATAAGCTTGGTTATTAAGCATCCTTTTTTGAGGATGCTCAGTGGCCGAGGGGAAGACATGTAGTGACGTGAAGCTAGGCGGTTAGGTGCCGTACGCGAGTGCCGGGTCGAGTATGCATATTACAGTACGTGTTTACTTTGATATGATGTAGCATTTACCATGCCGTTTATTCATTGATAGTTGTTAACTACACTAGTATTATACCGTTAGCGTCCTCAGAACCGTACTTTAAAGCGAGAGGAATTTAGTCCCAAGCGACGATATGCAAAGTGCAAAGGCTCATGGGTAAACACTGTTGACAATGACACGCTATGGCCATCTTGACGCATGCGCAGGTGACCACTTCCCCGCTTTAACTATCAGTAAATATACATGTAGTTGCTTGATCCACATTTACATATATGTGAGCACAACTCACCTTTCTTTGAACCTTTCTTTGTTTAGCATGTACAACCAAAACATCGTTTCTCTTGACGAAATTAAGCAGCCATATGGTCATGTGACCTGAAAGTTGTGCACTTGCATTACGATGACTAAGTTATGAAAACTACCAAGCACTTAAACAAAATACTAAACTAGAGTGGAATGGCTTTTAGAATCAAAATAATCTATGACTCAACAACTGAATACAACTGAAATGAAACTTTGAACTGTAAATATATGCATCTGTTCTTTCTAGGAGGAGTGAAGGAGTTCTTAAATGAGCCAAATTAACTCATCTGTTAAATGCTAAAACCTTATTAAAACCTTGTACAATATCTAATCAGTTTGTCTGTTCTGTCAATTCCAAGTAATTTAACAATCCTTTATACCAAGTGTACCTAGGTGATTCATCTATTTTAATTTCAGAAAACGTCCTCTCATTATCAAAGCAGGGCTATGAAAATTAAAACATCCACTGTCAATCACAAAACAAGATCCAATTTGTATTTTTAACTTTTTGAATACTTTTCAACACATTGTGCAGATTGTGTGTCCATCCACAACTAATTTACATCTTTCTGAAACCTTCTCTCATTATGTTTGCTGTAGTTTCTGTCAATTAACCAATGTATGTCTTCTCAATTCTTTTCAGTGTGTCAGGCGGAGAATTGTTTGACAGAATAGTAGAGAAAGGAAGCTACACAGAGAGAGATGCAGCAGATTTAATTAGACAAGTCTTAGAAGCAGTGAAGTACCTACATGATTGCGGTATTGTGCACCGAGATCTAAAGGTAAGATACGACTAAATGAAGCACATTAAAGCTGATCAGCTGGAATAAAACTGTACAATGCTGGTCATTAACCTTTTCTCTTTGAATGAGATAAGTTTCTTTTAGGTCAAATTCAGATGTGTCTCATTTCATTCTTTCCTGGCAACTTTATGTGTACAAAAACATTAAACCATATTGTTCACTGCATTTGGTTTAGAAGCATCTAGGTTCATTTAAATGATTCATAGCATATTTAGTCACCTAAATTTTGTAAAGTGGAAGCGTCTTTTGTCAAATTTAGTCACTGGACAATCACTGATTGAATTGTAATATTTTTATTGATGAAAAGTTACCAATATACATCCTGTACTGTAAGAGTATAGTGCCGCTCTCACCCATACCCGTCTTGCATTTGCTCAATATCACATTTGTGTCACTCATTTATCACATTCCCATTTCATGTTGTCACCACACAGAGTATCAAATGGGATAGCTAGTAAGGAATGAGTGATCTTAGAAGATAACTTTAAGTTTAAATCACAACAGGTGGTTAAAATGTGTAATGCATGCACGGTTCAATAATGGTATATGCGCAACCAGAATGCAATAATAAGTAAGCGATACAAATGCGATAAATGTGCGAGCCCAATAAATGCATGAAAGCTGTACTGTATTATGTGAATATGTACAAATCCCATGAGGAAATTTCCCATATTTTGATACCGTATTATAAGCGTGTCGCATATAAACTAAAAATGGCATTTGTTTTATACTGAATCATTAAATATAACCTTTTTTAACCATATTACTAATAGAGCAAATACGGTATTCAGCTTTTCACAAATTATTTTTCTAACATAGCTGGTCCATTTCTACCATGACCAATCAGATTGCAGAATATCTGATCTATAATCAACATATAGATTGAGTGAATTTTCGAAGCAAACATCATTTGCAATAAAAGTATTTTATTGTTCAAATTCTATCTACAACCATTTTGTTTATATTTTAAGAATCCACTCTGAAATTAACGTACTAAGTATATTTAAAATGTCACCTAGACTACGCATGACAAATGTTTTGCGATATCACCCAGCGTGTGCCTCAACTTCAACACTTGTCATTTATATACAGTACATAAAATCATTGCATCTATGAAAGTTGACCAGGATTTAATTTTTAGATTCAGGTGCGTCTACTTTGCAATTATTGTGATGAATGACTTTCTGTGAAAAAAAGCACTTGTTGTCATAGAAACTATCAAGGATTATGTTTAGCCCATTGTACATGTGTGCCAAGGTTGAATACATTTCTTAGATATTACTGTCAGGAAATGCTATGTCAAACAATTCCAGTTTATCTTTATATGTATTTGATCTATAGCAAATTAATCCCTTCCCACTAATCTTTTGGTACATAAATTTTCACATATTTTATGCATTTTTTTTTTTTACAATTTCTTGATCAACATGTTTTGAACAAATCTGACAAAAATTCATGGTGGCTCGATTAGTGACAAGTATAATATGGATATTTTTGTTGCATTCTATCAGAATAATTTGAAATATATTTTGAAGTTCATTTATGTCATATTTCACAGTACAATAATAGAGCCTAATTAGTCTCTCGGATGAAGTTTCGTTTTGGGATCTGTGCGTCCATGTGTCCATTTGACAAACATCATTTGTTTCAGACATGATTGGACTGATTTTGTTCAAAGTTGGTATAAATGAAAGTCAAAATGGGAGACATATGTTCGTCAATAAGTTTTTTCATTCTGTTGACAGACTGGTGGACATTTTATTCCCCAAATAAACACCCCAATAAACCATTTCTCAGGCATGCTTGGGTCAATTTCCTTCAAATTTGGTACAGTAATCCATCGCTAGGTCGTGCCTCAGTAAGTCGTGGGTAGTTGGATGCCTTCTAAAAATTCTAACTAGTTTTGCCGCATCATGTATTTAATTGGCCGTATTTAATTAGGCTGCAGGAGACAACTTAACCCCTGTCAATTACTGAGATACAAAGAGTGACAATGGTCTGGCTCAAAGTGTCAACAGGGATATGAATTCACGACTTTATTTACTTCTCGGCTGTTCCTTTTTGATAAGGCCAGACTTTTATTATACCTTGTTTCGCGAACCCGCCGAATGAACAGGAGCCGAAAATGAAATAAAAATAAGATTTTATTTCAGTGTAATTTCTCGCGCCCGCTGACTTTTAAGCGTAAAAATTGCTAAAAAAATATTATTTTATCTTCATTTTTTTATTAAATAAATTAGGCACCAATGTTTTTGTAAGATATTTACATCTATCAAGGACATTCGGTAAACTGATTCCCCACTGTTTTTTCAACCCCTAAACTTGTTTGTGTTGAAAATTAATTATGACAATGCATATTCATATTGAAACAAACTATGATAAAAGGAATAATATTATTTAACAAAGTCACCAGAGTTCAACTATGTTTCATTCTTGTTAATAAACAAGTTACTACACCTGGATGAGGACTATGTCATTGACAATGACTTGTTAATTACAATTTCTACATCCATGATTTATATTACCGTGAATACTTTTTATGGCTACTTTTATTATGACTGGATTTACTGTGAATGTGGATTTACATGTATATCAAGATATCTAAGAAAACAATAAAGTAAAAATGCTATAAAAATGTTGGTATTCTACATGTATATGTTTTGTCACATATCAGAACACATTTTTGTATTTAAGAACCATCCTATCTATTAATTAGTTGGCTTGGTCAATTTAATGATGCTCTATCAATCAGTGGTTTATCCAATCTTGTCAACGCCTGAAGGATTCAGCTTTATAATTGCTTGTTGCATCACAATCTTCCATCTTAATTCCATCTTCTCAGCTTTTCAAGAAATGTAGTGTGAACTTCTCCAATCAATTTGTTATGTTAAACTGGGCGTCAAGCTTTTTTTCTGATTCCCAAAATTGTCACCTAACCTAGCCTACACTTTATGCGTTTTAATTATTCACTGAGTTTTAATTTAATTTCCACTGATATGTGAAATCTATGTGAACATACAATTAGATCTCAGTGGAAAATCCATGAATTTAAAATCAAGTGAATATAAAATATCCCATTTAAAATAATGGCTTCACAGTATTAAGTATTTCAAAGGATGAACTGCAAGGGTTGTGTATAATTGATTTCCTACTCAGATTGTATTTTATGTATATGTAATTTAGGCCAAACATACATTTGTATCTATATGTCTTTCAGTATAGTTCAACTCATTGCATTGGTTTTTAATTGGTAATATTGTCAAATGTATATCTGTGAGCCCTAACCCTGCTGTCTACCCAGTACATCCCAGCCTTTAGCAAAATGTCTATGTATTATAATACTGTGAAAGGGTTAATTATTCACTGGGTTTTAATTTTGCTTATTTCGCTGACTGAAAAATGCGCTAAATTAACACCCAGTGAATATGTAAAATTGAGCATAGAACCAATTACCTAAATGATAAAACCGTGAATTTAAAACCTGCTGAATATGCCTGAAATGCTAAATCAGTGAAATTTAAACCCAGTGAAATTTATTCATTTTACAGTATTTGCTTATTTGATAGAAGCTTCTAGCTCATGGTAAAGGCTGGATTATTATGAGGCAGTTTACAAAGCCTTGTGTGTATGAGATAGGTTGGGGGCTATATGTTACATGAAAAACTGTCATGACTGCTTTCCAGCCAACTAGTTGCCCATCATCACAGTTTAGTTGCCTTGCCCATGAGTTGCTTGGTGCATTTCTACAAGAATTTCCTTTGTTAAACAGCTTTTAAGCTAATTTTTAATTCCATTAAAAGCACAATTACAGTATGTAGAAAAAAATAACTCCAATATTTGTAATAATCTCCGTGCACGTCTAACAGAGGAAATACATGTATTATAAGCACAATGTTTGGGCCTGAATGGTTCCTTTTCTGTATTTAAGTTTCAATACTCATTATAATTTAGTAAATAAATAACTGAAATGACTGTAGCCCTCTGGTGCTCACTAATGTCCGTACCAAAATGTATAATGGGTTTTATGTTCTGCATAAATTCCTCACAGCTACACTGTCTACTACCGTACATCTATTATGACATTAATATATAATGGTAAAGCTTTCATTTTGGTTACTTAGCTGGCATGTAAGAAAATGAGTGTCTACTTTTTGGATAATTTAGTATCTAGAGAAGGGAGGCATGGTCTGAATACCGATTTATGCAATACAGCATTATTACCATATCCAATTCAACGACTAAACACAATAATAAAGAACATGGAAATATTCCCTGACAAATTTTAGTGAAATATTTTGCTTATTTATTAGTCTTTGATCGCTGAATTCTTGTCCAACATTTAATTACAATAATATACATTTTTCATATTGCTTATAATTTACATACTGCATGGTAGCCACTAAAAACTGGACATGGACGATGTCATCGACTATGACCTGTTTTTCTTCAATTTCAAATAAACATTACCATTATATTTGGCTGCAGGTTTTAATAAAAATATTAAATATATGATAAAAGTTATTTTATTAAAGGTGACTAAAGATTGAATTTGGCATTCAAAGAGTTAATGAATTATATTCTTCTTTTTATTTTTGTTTACAGCCAGAGAACTTACTATTTTGGTGTCCTGATGAAGATTCAAAAATCATGATCAGTGACTTTGGTTTGTCAAAGATGGACGATGGTGCTGGAGATGATATGTCCACAGCTTGCGGTACACCTGGTTACGTAGCACCAGAAGTGCTGGCACAGAAGCCATATGGTAATGCCGTGGATGTATGGTCAATAGGAGTCATATCCTATATCTTGTAAGTATTTTATTTTACACATATATACACTGTATTTTTTACTCCTGTGTGTGAAGCACGCAATAGAAGCCTTTGCAGTTAGTGCGTCTGTATGTATGTTCTCCATTGTATAAAAAGTGCATCTCTAATAGAAGAACATGGTTTATTTCGACTGTGTTAGAAGTGCAATGTCTTTATTGATCTATATTGTGTGAACCACTTACTGACTGGTACATCAACAATTTTTCATCCAGAATAATTTTATTTGTGATTAAAGTATTAAAAATCCTCATTAGGAAAAGGACAAAAATGCATTGACGCAAGTAAACGCATGTTCTTCTATTAGGTAAGAATTAAGTTAGTACATTTATCATGTGTACACTAATATACTTAGACATAAAGCTGCTATCAATGTCCAACTCTCAAAAATGCGTACCTGTCACCTATACATGTACATCCTATTGAGAAGGTGCAGCTGTGTCAGCAAATCTTTTATATGCTACATGTACCATGCAAAGGAAAAAGGAAATTCACTTATTATTGGCACCTGTTAATACTGTATCAACACATGGCTCAAACTGATTGATGATTTGTATATCTCCATATTGTGTATATGTAAACAAATGTCACATGTTAACCAAACTGTGTGGTCTAAATAGAAGGGTAGCATACTAATAATTCAGATCATTAAAATGGAATGTAGTATTTAAAGTTATATAAATGTTACTGGTAGGAGGTCGCAACTTTGAGTTTGCCACACTGATCCATACTGGGGTATGTATGTCACCAAGGTTTGCATATATAAACACAATGAAAGGGAATCTTATTTTTTATAGGATTGATCTGTACTGCAGATTCCTTAGTTGACTGGTACCAGTAGTTGTTGTCATTCCTTCTAGTCTATAGAGAGCAAAAGGAGCAGAAGATCAATTTCTTTAAAATTCCATTTCAATGGATTTACATGGGTTGAGAATTTTGTTTTTTCATTGTGTATTAGAGAATAGGGGCAATTACTGTAATATTAGTTTTCACCGATGTGTTACGCCTGTAAATACACTATTGTGATTGGATGTGAGGTAGTTTTAATTTATGCAAGTCAGTCTACAATTCTACAATCCCTGATGATACACCAGAATTCAGAATTATGCAAACAATGCACAAACAAAAAATTAATTGTTATCTGCAGTGGTTCACTCATTAATTAACCCATGGCGATATTTTATCCAAACTTTTTTTGAAAGAATGTTGATTGAAACGATTTTATATACATCATCGTTGCTGCTAACAAAAAAAATACATAAATAAACCATGCTACACCGAAACACAAAGTGCAAATTTGCATCACTGCATGATGTATCAATAATGGCTGTATGCTGGTTCCAGGGCCCAATTCATTTTACCACAGTAGTAGATAGAATGTTTCAGATGCTGTATCATTTGAACATGGTTTTTGGTGAGAAATAATTATTTCTGTAGCTCAGAATAACCTTTAAAATGAAGTTGGTATAATGTAATAGAAATATTCGCGCACAGAGGGGGGAGTATACCACTCGATTTTGACCAGTTCCCTCCATATACCCACTATTGCTTTTGTGTATATGTCGTAAAATTGGTCCAAATCTTGTGGTATACTCTCCTCTAGGGCATACTTATTACTATTGCTATGAAAGTCACCTTTATCAAGTTTCTTTTTTTATTGGGGGAGGGGGCTATTGTTAGCATTTGCACCTTTAAATAGGGGAGGATATTGTCAGTGTCATTAGAGGTCATTCATTAAATACTGTTAATGCAATAATTATTCACTGTCTTTTAGTTTTGTTATTTTCGTTGATAAGTTAAAAACTTTAAATTTAATCTATGTGAACGATAAAACAGATTGTTTTCCTGGCAGATTCATTAACTTGAAACCCAAATGAATATGCTCAAAATATCAAAAAGGTGAAATTAAATGCCAGTGAGAATAAATAGTTTTACAGTGTACATTTTGGTGAGATAAATCAGAGATTAGTGACCTGCTCTTTGCTGTTTGACACCAATTGAATTATAAATAGCTGTTAGCAATTCAACTGTCGAAAAAAACAGGATGCTGGATGGAGATGAAATTATTTCTATTTCAGCTTTGATTGGTCACTGAAAATTGTGTTTACTATAAAAATGTATTAAAGTGAATTAAGTTAGGTTTGTTGCTATCAGGTTGATCTAACTCATTCATTTATGGTAAGTGGCATTCTGGGTAATTTGATCACCATGGCAAAGTGTTGCTAGTCTCTTTCCAAAATAGAAAAGAAAAGAGAATTTATATTATAATAGAAACAACTTAACACCATAAAACTCTGAAATACTGATTTAATTAATTGGATTTAACTTAATCCAGTGCTCATTATAATCTGATGACTGTATAGAATCAGGATGTGAATACAAGCTTTGTTGAAAGTAATTTTAGAGGTGTTAAATTTAACCGTATATTCCTGTTGATTTGATTCTAATGACTGTTGCTACCATTATGTTGTCTCTGTAGGTGTGCATGTATTATACAAAAAAAGATGAATATCTATGATATAGATTAGCTTGATCCATCAATAATTAAAACATAAAAGCCAGGTCTTCCACAAAACGTGTTTCATGAAAAAATTATACTTGATTGTAATTGTAATGAGACTCTTTCTGCATTCGTGATCTTTCTGCTCTTGCTTTTAAGAATAAGTTCTATTGACTTATTACATACAGAATTTAGGACATAAATTTGTATTGTATGTATTTTTCTACAGTAATGCAATTAAGATGTCTAACAATTTATCGAGAACCGAGTCTGGTTTCTCATGAAATGTTTTTGTGGTGAAAGTACATTGTATTTTATCATAATTTGTTAGTCATGAATTAGACTGAAAATATAACTGTTGTACATGTATATTGATACAAAATGTATATGAACACTATATTATTTATATATCGGTAGTTATAATACTATGTTATTATATTGTAATATGGTTTTCGTTGATTTGTCACTAATAGTGAAAAACAAACTGTTTTGATGTATATTAGATTCAAGGTTTAGTGAAAACAAAAACGCAACAAACATTGATTTCAGCTGTAAGGTAAAAGACTCAGAATTCTTGTTTAGTTATCATCATACCTGTCATATTTTAGCCTAAAATTGAACTGACCTTCTTCTGATATCAGAAATAAATAAACACACTTTTCAATTGCTGGTAATGGCTTTGGAAAGTTGTCAAGAACATTATAAATATGGTGTGACTAAGTGAGAAACGACCGGAGAGAAATGTCTACTCATATGAAGCTCAATGTTTTCAACTGAAGAGCAAACTGTTGCCATAGCCACATGCTAATGAGAAAGCATTTCGAAGATTTAATGGATGCTCAAATTAGGGGTTGAAGCAGTCTGTAAACAACTTGTCAATGGGCGAAGGAAATCAGCTTCTGTAGCACTGCTTCTATTTTTAACCCATTTCCTGATAACTAAGGAAACCCCATCCAATTTTAATGAAGGGGGCTTGTAGAACTGTCCACTATTTTAAACTGATCCAATAAATTGCCTCAGATAGCAGCTGGGCTAAATTATTGAAGTTCGTTTTACACAATTTAAACTGAATGGGAGGGATTAAAGAGCGAAGACATACCAGTCCTGGAATTGAATAACAGTTACATTTGATTGCACACACTGTATTGAGAATCATCAAGCTGTTTATGGATGCAGCGATTTAGAAAAGTGAGCTATTTCTTCAACAAACACAGTCTACATTTCCTAGCTGTAGATGGAACACGGTCTGTGGGCAGTGAAAATAAATGAATCAGAAACTTGCGTCAGTCGAATGGCATTAATTTTAAATGACAGTTTAAGTACTTTAAAGAGTGTGGAGTCTGATCTAATATTGTCGTCATATGATGTTATGAATCTGATGTCCATGTGCAGATGATATCTTATGGATTTTAATCTCTCTTGAAGCCAAATTTCATAATTGGAATGAATCACTCATGCTAGTGTTTGCCATAATTATACTTTCCAGTATTCTTATGCAACATTTTGCACATTGTTATAAACATTCATAATTGGAATGAATCACTCATGCCAGTGTTTGCCATAATTATACTTTCCAGTATTCTTATGCAACATTTTGCACATTGTTATAAAAATTCATCATCAATCTTGGAGCAAATGAAAAATGAATTCTCTATTTGCTGCAGGTCTTGATCAACATTTTTGAAATAATTTGGAAAAAAAACGATGTCCCTAAATTTAGTGAATAGTGGCAAACACTTTCAAATTGTTCAAAAATTTAATGGTTGGTAGGATGTGTATGAATTGGAGGAGCATCTGTTTCTTTTTCATTTTTCACATGTTTGTCTTATGTTTTTTTTTTTATTTTTTAATTTTTGACCAAATTAACATACTTTCTCATTGTTGTTGGGTTTCTCAGGTTTTTTTTGAACAAAAATCTGACTAATTTATCAGATTTATTTTGTGATCACAGTGTCAAAGATCAAATAGTGTTCACAAAATGATAAACTTCCCTCATCTGTGACTAATTCTAGTTCTAATATTTATTCCACATTGGTTGGCGCTGCAGTAACATAGATAGTTATGAACATTTGCACATTTGTATGGCTTCACCTTTTCACTTTGACCGACAGCAGTATGCTGCTGGTAATGTTCCTTGCCCATAATGGGGATTGTTGGGAAATACGGCCTTCAATCACAGGCTTGGGATATTTGTTCCACCAATTGTTCAGAATAATTAGAAATATGTACAAAATATACAGATGACATGAAAGAAATTCGCTAGTTGTAAAATTCATAACTGTAAGATGAAACAACTTTAACATTCACTTTTTTTGCAACTAAACGATCAGAAATAGATGACAAAGCATATACAGATATTTCAACAAAAAGGGAATTTTGGCTTTAGAACTATGTTTTTTGCTGAAAATTGTGCCATGTATCTGAATAAATGAGCAATAGCCTCTTTATGAAACATATTCACAGACCATTTGTAATGACTACATACTTGCAACGTACTGTATATCAGGTAAGATCTTTGAGTAGCATGTACATATAATCAAAACTTGCACATGTACACAAAACTAGCCATCTCAACTTCTTCAACAGCCACCTTTAAATGGCAGATCATTGAACTCTGTTTTGATTTTTGGCATTATAACGGTATATATACGGTACTGACATTCTTGTTTTGGCTGCTTAGTTTCAATTCTGAAAATGCCTAATGCAAAAGGACGCTTTAGTCTGAGCTAGTTATTTGTGCACATTGGTATTATCTGTACTGTAACTGTCTGGTCTGGTTCTTCAAAACAGAACAGATTTAGAACAGACTAGTCATTTCTTAATCCATTTCAAGCAGTCACACACATATTTTTTGTACAGGCTAATGTTTTCAACTTTTTTGCCCATGCTAAGAAAATGTGTTTGAACATAGCTACTGAGAATACAATACCAGCTACTGCAGCTCTTTGTGGGAAAAGTTCACATAATTTGTCTATATCCTTAAGTACATGTAACTGGAATAAAAAAAAAAAAGAAATCCCTTTCTTCCCTTTTGATGCACAGTTTCAGAGATTCTATTGTATACTTTTATACTCAGAATGGAATTTCAGGAAAACATGAAAGTTTAAATATATTCATTTCAATTCTAGTTGCGATATCAAAACCATTTCACATTGGGAAAGTGTTGGGGAGGTGAGAAACAACAAATTCAGTCGTTATTGTAATTTTATTCTATTAGTCACATACACATCATGAACAAAATGTTGACCTGACGTGCTTGTTATTCGACCTGCATCAGTCAGTCAGTCAGTTGATGTAATTTTCCATGTTCCTGTACCGCACCATATCAGGGAACTGTAAACAGATTTGATGTTAACTGAATGATTTACAAGGTAATGTTCTGTGAAATCTGGCAATTTTTGGTACACATGTCAGCGTTGTTGTGCAGAATTAAATCTCTCCTCTGTGTCTTCTATACAAATTGCTTTTTAAATTGGTGTCATCAAGTACTCTTGTAATATAATTTATGGTTGTATACCTCACTTGTATAATGTAGTAAAGTTTTCTTTGAAATGGTTCAATGCTTAATGTGCTATTAGTAATAAATGTGCTTACATAAATACTGGTATGCGTTGATGGACAAAATATGTCAGTTTTAAATCATGTTGTATACTTCAGTACAGTAAATTTTGATTTATGTGCTCTTCTCGAGATGTCCTTCTAAGGCTAATACAATATATACTGTTGCATAATTTCCAAAATTCAGTCACTGATTATCGAACCACACAGTCAAATTATCAGTCAGACTGCACTCTATGTTTTTGTCTGAATCAGGACATTTGTTAAAATATATTAGGTGCTTCATGCCGATATGCTGAAATGTATGTCTGGGTAAAATGTTATTTTCAGAAGTCAACAAATTTACATCTTTATATCTGCTGTGCATTCAATCACACACATCTGCTCAATATTACACTCATGATCTCTGACATGAAATGATTTGAAGATTAATTTTCTCCATCTTGTTTTCTTTTTTCTTAGATTGTGCGGATATCCACCTTTTTTTGATGAAAACGACTCAAACCTCTTCGCACAGATAATCAAAGGAGAGTATGAATTTGATTCGCCATATTGGGATGATATCTCAGATGCAGGTATGTACCGGTAACTTAGTACCTTGTAGTCTCTAATCAATGAAGACTGTTTGCAGTCTTGTTACCTAGGTTACACAATTAATGCTATAATAAAGCTGCATCCCCTCTGATGCATTGTACCATTTTTAATAGAAACCATGGCTGCTAATAAAGACTTTACAGTAACATACGTTTCTAGAAATCCTAATGGAAATTATTACGTAAAAGAAATGAGGAATGTTGAAAATAGCCAATGTACATGTACTAGTGTATTAGTAGAGCATCTGTTAGATGTTTGTGCAGTAGGAGGATAACCTCATTTATTTCACTTTCCACATCAAAGTTTCTGTGATTCAGAACTAAGTTTGATTGATACGTGCATGTAACTTGTACAGAATGGGATTTTCATTGCTACATATACATGGTCATCTAAGTTGCATGGATACCCATATCCAAGTCCTTTGTATTATCAAAAATTCATTATGTCAGACATTGAATCAATATCATGAAGCACAAAAAAGAGCTTACAAGTTACTTACAACCATGATCTGTAGTAATTGTGAAAAAATGTAATTTTGTAGAAATTCAGTGCCATTGTGAATGATTTTGTTGAATACTCTTTAGTGATTCATCTTGTCTTATCTTGTGTACACATGTCTGCACTATTCTCTGGTGGCAGATTTGACTAATAACACTTGAATACCATTATGGAAGTGTACACTTAGAAATTGCATTGGATTCACTGATCAGAATATGGTGACCCAGTTTTATTGAAATTATACACAGTACATACAGTGTATTTAAAAAAAAAAAAAAGTGATCGATTTTCTTCATTCACAGCCAAACATTTCATCAGACATTTAATGGAAGTGGACGAGAGGAAGCGATACACTTGTCAACAAGCCATTGATGATCCATGGTAAGTTAGTGTAGAATAGAAATCATGTATGCCTTCTCAGTAAGACTGCATAGATTGTGTAAGCACATTGATAGTGTGCAAATTTTCTAGTAGTTTCTCTGTCTGTGCGTTTGTCCATCTGTCCGTCCATCCGTCCAGAGTCATATTTCAGAATCCTGGGGACCAAGTCTGTTCATTCCTTACAGTGCCCAGTACTTTGGACATGCATATGCACATGCAGCGGTTTACTGATTGAATCCAAGATGGCTGTCTGGCAGCCATTTTGTTTTTTGAATATGTGGTATCTTATGCATGGTTTGTCAGTTTTTGTTTAAATTTGGTACATACATTGTACATTTTAAATTATTAATGTCCATGACAATTTGTTTTGTAATCAGATTAAAGATGACTGACTGACAGTGACAGCCATATTTCTTTTTGACTATATTACTGTATCTCTTTACATGAGCCTGCATGGACAGAGGAAATTCAGTTTGGATCCAAACAATGCATGAATAGCATATAATCCTATTTAATTTCTGACCATATATTTCGATTTGGGCAAAGTCATTTAATACGTCTAATTACTGTTGATACTAGACCAGCCAATTACTCACTTTCAATTACAAACTATGCTTTTGGTGTATATTGCTTTATTTTTGGCATGAATAACATTTCACATAATTCCAATGGAGACAATTAACAATGACTTGTATGTCAAAACAATTGCAATGCTCAACACTCCTAATGTTGTCTGTGTCTGCTTTAATACTCTCACAACATTGCAACTAGTACCCACTCTCTCAAAACCTGAAAGGGTGCACTAGAACATAACATGTAATCAGTGGTTTTACATACTCTGGACATTTACCATGCACATTTGTAAAAATAATTATTTGTATTTTGAATGTAATGTGCTGCTCAAATCAGAGTCAATATAGAGTTTATGAATATAGATATACATGTAATATAATCCAGTGTAGGAGATTGTATATATTATACAGGAATTGTAATAGTCCAGTGTAATTAACTAATGCATGTATCAGTTTTTATTTGGATGGTTGAGATATCCATGACTTTTTGAAAAATGCAATGACAATTCACATATTGCATTCACATGTCACAACAAGTTATGTGATGTGATGACATGACTTGTCCATGTTGGTTCAGTAGTAAACAAAACTGAAATGAACCAGCTATTTTCAATCAGAACATGAAACAAAAGATATGATTCTTGATTCTTATGGTCAAACAAATACACATGCATATGTATGACAAGATGTATGATGTTTAAAGTTTGGTCATGACCATGATCAGTCAAGGGATATCAGGGATACAGCTCTTGAACCATATTCATTAAAAATAATGGCCACCAATCAGCCATTTTGAATCCAATCTGAAAAACAAAACAACCTGCATCAAGGTCCCTTAATGGCCAATGTATGTACCTACTAGTTTGCATGAAATTCATCAATACACAACCAAGATCTGGTTTCTGAATGAAATTATAAATGAAATTATAATTATAAATTCTCTTCACAGGGTTTCGGGAGGTGCAGCAGCTACAAAGGATATTCATGAATCTGTCAGTACAAATATCAAGAAGAACTTTGCCAAAACAAAATGGAAGGTATGTATCTATAAATTATTATTGAAAATCTTAATACTGTATCTTGATATCTGTGAATTTTCACATATAGTGTCAAAAGTGTGATTGCATCACTCAATGAATGTTTTGCAGTGATTTGATCAATAATTAACCTTTTCACCAGCAGACTTTCACAATAACATTTGTCTGCACTTTTTTCTTGTATTCTTCAATATTTCTGGAAATGAACCCAAATTTTGGAACCAACAGACAAAATTTGAGTCAATTCTCAATTTTTTACTCAAAAAATTTGGCTATTCTTGTCCCAATTTTGTGAAGGAATTGCAGACTATAAATAGGACTATATTGTGAATTTGTGATGAAAAGAGGGTGGTGAAAAGGTTAAAGGTAATTACATGACAAACATGTACATCATGCTGTTTTACACAGGATCTTAGCATTTTTAGTCAAAATAGCAAGATCACAAGTAAAAGTCCCAATATCACAACATTGTCTTGTAATAACCTCTCTATCATAAGTAATTTCATGATCTATATGTGCTGTGGGACAAATATTAGATAATTTTGCAGTATATTTCATTATCTTCAGTGGAACTACATGTAGATAGCACACTTGTGGTGTGACTGAAAACATACTGTGAGCGACATACTGACATGCACAGATTTGGTCAAAGTTCATGGAACACTTCATCTAATAGTTAATCGAAGTCATTGTAATATTACTGATGTTCAATGCAATATTGTTGAATGTGACTGCTTACAACATTTTCTAAAAATTTGTGTAGTTTAAGTTGTCTCAAATTGAATAGTTACGCATGTTAATTGCGAATTAGATATTAATGTCTAGATGACTGTGGATTCAAAGTTCAAAAAATGATGCAATATCTTTTGTCATGGCCCAATGCTAAGAAGCAATGCCTGTTACATCCTAACCAAAAGTATCTAATATGTGGAAATTACTTTTAATAAGATTACTTACATTGAATTTCTATCAAAATACATTCAATATAGGTCAAATACCTCAAGTATCAAGAACTCATGACTATAAATTCTCAAACTGTACGTGACTAGACTGTAAATATAAATACAAATATGGTGAACGTAAATATTAAATCTCAGAATCAGAAATGTGCATATAATATTACTGGCATTCCCACTGTATTCAATTTGTTTCAAACTGAGGCCAAGCATTCAAAACATTTCGTGAATATATTATCTTTACACCAGACTGTGGCTGGCTTTTACAACAACAAACTCCAGTTTGGCTAATTTAGCAGTGGCTTCAGACATACCACCAAACCGCATTAATTACTATATAAGTTACACTCGATTGTGGCCCAATATAATAACACAATAACATTCTAACTTGATGGTAATACTATTATAATTATTCAGAATGCTTGCCCCTTAAAAATGGTTAACCAATTTTAATACGCAGTTGTACAAATACAAATTGTCTACATGGATATTTGATATAAATACAAATATGTATGAAAACACCTATTTGTTCAGCTAAGGTAAAAGGTCAGTTTCCACAAAAAATACCTTTAGCCACAGTAACGTAGCAATGTACAATAACACTGGAAAAGCGATATAGAATCGCATACTTGAGACGATATCCACACACTTTGCAGTGCTCTAGCTATATGGTTGAAGTAGTCAGTCGAGGATGTTCATGCACCTTGCTGTTCTCTAGCTGTTGGGTTTAAGTACACAAAATACACTAGAAATGTATAGAAATGCATCACACTTGAAATCTCCGCAAACTGTCATGTTTTCTGTTTGATTACTCATTCTTAGTCAGCCATGGATGCGAAGTGCTCACAATATAAAGTTGTTAATTAGTGGTCATAAACGGTTAGAACACAAAAAACTGAAACACATTGTTGGTGAATATTAACATATGCAGTGATAACAAATAAATGTAAAGTTGAAATATTTTCTGCATTTGAAGCATAAAAAAAATATGGATGCATATATTGTTTTAGGATCAAAGGCACCACATGTTAGGTGTATGATAATACATGTAACTACTCCCATCAGATATACTATACAAATATAAATATTTAATAGTCAAAACATGTCTACAGCAATAGATCTAGAAGGAACATTTAAAATTATTACAGGGGTATACTATACATACTATTTGACTAAAGTAATTAATCCACCTTGATATATTGGTTAGCTCAAAAATTGGAATTAATCACAAAAGGCCCCAGGCACTTGTTGAATAATAGACACCTTGGCAGGTGTTTCACTTTTTTCGAATCAGCTTTATTTTCAAGATGATAAATGGTTTTAAGCAAGCATTACCAACAACAAACTGTGGTATTTTTGTTTGGCTTCATTGGCTGTATGTGTTTTTCCCTCAATGTTGTTTTCTCTTCATGGGATCTGTTTTACCTGCCACTGAATTTCTCATCCTTTTCAGTTTATGCATACCTACAATGTCTAAAATGTTAGTGTGTGATGTTTGCATGAATCTGAATGGGTAATGAAATATTACAGCATATTGTACCTTAACATTAGTGAAATGTGGTATGAATGGAAATCTGCAGAGACTATAGGCTGTATATTCAGACAATGAGATATTACTAGCATCATACCTAGGCATAAGTTGAGTTGGGCATACTCTGCATAGACTCAAGACTAGTAAAATATAATCAAACGTTTACACCAATTAGCTATGAATTCTAGACATGGCAATCTCCTAAGGACATAGTATATGTGCATGTAGTAGCTAAAGAGACCACCTATCCAGAGAATCTGATTTAATAACTGTCACTCAATTTGTATTACATTATTATCATGTTGTGATTATGTTCTAAGTTGTAGCATTTGTGACTGCAATGCTTTGACAGAGAATTCAATAACTTACTTTGTAGGTTTTATGATGCGCATCATCAGTCCATTCAAATCTGTTGAAAAATTGTGAGATATAGGATGTAAAATAACCAAATCTACTGCGTCATGTCTTCCTTGCATCCTTCTACACTGGGTAGACCTTTGTAGCCATCAAATTATTTCAATTATTTTGCCTTTTTTTTGTCAATTTCTGTGTTTGGATTGACTCTTTACATTGTTTTTCCACCATGCTGGCAGGTAGTCTGTGTAAGTTGGGTCATATTTAATCATTGAAAAGAATCATGCCGTGTTCACAATGTTTGCCGGGTATATAGGCTCACGGAAATACAAAATTAAATGACACGTTCTGGAAATGCCCACTGACTTTAATAAACAGAATGCAATGATGTTTTCTTGAGTACTCAGATACAGTTAATGAGATTTAAAGCTTGAAACATTTCAAAAGCATTGCCTAGCACCTAACTGCATGAGATCCTAACACAGGTGGGAAAACGGAAAGTTAACTTGTAGATGGATTATGACGTATTTTACAATTTGTTCCATTTAGCATCTGTCTGATAATGGTGGCCATTTTTTACTCCTGTGTGCAATGTCTGAAGAACTGCTCATTGAAAATTGGTTCATTGATGCTCTGGGACAATGCGCAGATCTGATTAGTTTGGTTTAAAATCTGTGCTTATTTTAGTAATTAATTACCTAATTTACATAATAATTAGTTGATTTTTAGCTCCGCTGTCGACTTTGTCGAGCGGAGCTTATCATATGAGTGATTGTCCGTCGACGGTGTCCGTCGTCGTCCGTGTTTTACATTTTCAACTTCTTCTTGAAAACTACAAGCCTGAATGCTTTAATACTTGGTGTATATGTACCTTGGGTAGACCTCTCTTAGATTTGTTCATTTCATAATTTCCTAATTTTGTTGAATATTTTTGTCATTTTTGGTAAAAAGTGATATTTTTGACTTCTTGTTAAAAAATGCAAGGCCAATTGCATTGATATTACATGTATAGGTACTACATGTGGACCTCTTTCAGATTTGTTAATTTCGTGGTGATATCTTCAATTATTTTTGTCATTGTTAGTGAAAAGTGATATTTTTGAATTCTTGTTGAAAACATAAAGTCCTGTTGCTTTGATACTATACATATTGTTCATTTTCTAACGATATTTTCAGTTCTTTAGTTTTAATGTGCATTGCTAACAGCGAAGCTATCTCAGCTGACAGGCTGCTTGTATAAATCTTTAGAGAGTCTGCATGCATGTTACTACCATGGTTTAGCTTTCCATCTATGAGAATAAGGGAAGAGTAGGAAATCAAACGGGCGGTTCACCGCGGTAATCACCGCGGCTCTCCGCGGTACACCGGGGAGAGCCGCGGACTGCTTATAATTAGGGGTCTCTACCGCGGTGGCCACCGATACCGGTTGCAACCGCGGTCGTAGGAAAGATGTGAAATACGTACTTAACAGTTTCCTTTGTGATTCCATGAGTCTTTGTTTCAAATACACATAGCTGTTTTTAAATCGAGCAGGTTACGAGCATCGCTGGCATGGAAATACTAAGCATATAGTAATATTATCGGCCCACGTATTTTATTAATATAAAAATCCATAAGTCCAATACTGTATACGAATTGTTGTTGCGTGAAACAATGTTGTATTTTATGCATGTATTTATCACCAATTCCAAGAGTAAAAGTCGTAACTTTCGAAGGTACGAGTATTATGACTCGTCCATACATTGCACTTACGTTTGTTACACTTGAATAAAGTCTACCACACGAAAAGAATGTTATTTACGAAGTTTTAAATAGCCGAGCCTTCCTGATTCGAGCCTCTTGTTGATTTGACAACGGTGGGTATCATTAATGTTTATTCTTTGCCTGTATCGCATTCCAGACAAAAAGTTCAAGATCGGTAAACAAGAAATGGACGAACTAAAATGTCTCCTATGTTTCACGTGCGACATGATTATTAAAAAAAACAGAGTTAAGCGGTCATGTACGTTCTATAAATCTAACCTTGCACACATAATCTTGTATTGACGTGTTTTTTTTTTGTTGGTCAAAAACGACGTTGCCTTTCAGTTAACTCTTCGCGAGAGTTTACCGATTTTTTGAACAAATGTTAAGTAACTATATCGTTTTGCGTCAAACTG